AAAAAACCCCCACCCCCCACCCCCCACTTTGTGCAGAGCTGCTGAAACTGAAATATTAGACTCAAGTTAGGACTGGCCTTTACTGAATAAAGATCTTGGACTTAATTCCAACTCCCCTTCTTTGAAAGAAAAAAAAAATACAAGGCGTTTTGTAAATGGGCAAAAAGAAAGGAGGGGCAGGGATGTGATCGGAGGCACCTCACTGCTCAATAAGTACTATCCTTGTCGCACTCCTTACCGATATGTCCCTTGTAGTGGGGGGGTGCTCGCAGTGACTGCGGATGGCGCTGCAAATGTCAGCAGAATTGTTGGTCATATGACAAATAAATTCAATAAATGAAGCTTTTGCTATCCAAAAAGGACTGGTGTGCTGGTGACATTTCTACAATTCACCTCACTGCTCAAGTTGTATCCCTCACTCCCGCAGTGCCTGTTATGTGTAGGGAACAGCATTTTGCAAGGTAAGATTTGTATAGTTTACAGCTGTCCTCTACATAACATGCAGCTTTTTAATAATAATTTATACACCTAGTGCAGCGATGGCAAACCTATGGAACGGGTGCCACAGCTTGCACACGGGGCCCTCTCTGCTGGCACGTGTATCCATAAGCTTGCCTCATTGCTGTTATTGATTATCAGTCAAAGTGAGCAATATTACCGATAATAAACACTGTGCAAATTTCAGCTGATATTGAGGAATGTGCACAGTGGGTGCTGCTGTCTGGCCAGCATCCCTCGATTAGCTGAAAGAGCCAGTCAGAAGTCGGCAGCCATTGAGCTGCCCGTCCTTCACAGGTATTTTAACAACAGCTGCCAGATGCTGTCAGAATTGGCAGTAGCAGTGGGCTGGTGCAATAGCCAGCCTACTATTGGCTATTGCAATTTGAAATACCTAATAACAGCCTAGCTCTTGATTCCCCTGCTATCTTCTGGCGGCCGCTGTCAGAGTACAAAAATAAATACAAAAAAAGGCAACTAGGGGTCGACCAATGTCAGGCGACTGCCTGCTGTTTACATTCAGCTGCTGGTGCAGCTGGATGCAAACAGAATATCGGTACCTGATATCGGTTATCGGCCTGAAAGGTGGCCCATATTCGGTACTGGTACCAAAGAATACATATTGGTCAACCCCTACTACAGTACAGGTAAACTCTTTGGGATACATAAGTTGGTTTGGTAATCCAGTTTTGGCACTCTTTTTTTTTTCGGAGTTTGGCTTTAAGAATATGTAAATCCTTCAGTGTCTATAAATTGGCTGCAGATTTACTTAAAATTTGTATTTTTA